CAGTTATCACCCGAAGACGATTGTGGATACTAACAATCGAAACGTCGTGACGTAACTTGGTTTGAAATCTTTCAATTTTTAATTTTCATTTCTTGTTAATAATATTTTTAATTTTTAGCTTATATTAATATTTAATTTTTTTTGGTTGCTGCTTGTATGTTATTTCTTTGTAATTTTAGTTTTTTGTTCAATAAAATTGTTATTATTCTATTTAGAGAATGGAAGTCCAAACTGATGATATCAGATTTTTTTTGACTCAAATTTCAGTCAGATCATAATGAAGGATATTAAAAAATATGACGTTTCAAAATTATGCTAAAACAGATGCATAAACAACCAGTGAACATGTTTTAGGAATTTTTCTTATGTCCTTCACCTTATGTGATGTGGTGTTTCAAACTATACAAATATTTTTTTGTCATGCAACTTCTTCACTATTGAGTCATACAATATTCTTTATCATATTTCAAATCTCTTTTGACCTCTGTTAATGAAGTTTTTAAATACGACAAATTTGAGAAGGAAAAGTGCAAGAGGTAGTTGATTTCCCAATTCTAAAAACGAAAGCAGGTTTTGGCTTATGAAACACTTATCACATATTACAAATAACTGATGAAAAACACATTTTTCTTTGTATCTTATTAGGGTGAACTAATGGTTTTCCGTTACTGAATCACTATAAAGGCAAATGTTTGATATACTAGCAATGGATAAATTACATGACTTTTAATGTGGACTCTATGGTCATAACTCCCCCTCCTCCCATGCAAAAAATTAACATAAATAGAATAGTATATTTTGAAATCAACTGGAATGAAATGGAATTAAACAAAAATAATCACCAAAGAACTACACCAAAAATCAAGTGAACTGAATGAATCCTGCTTATATACTCCCAGCAGTCAACAAGTGTATTTCAACTTACTGTGTGGAAATGAATTGTACATGGTTTTCATTGCTAAGGCGAGAGGTTAAGGAAAGAAATATTAACCTGAATGGATTCCTTGGCAAATACTATGTGCATGTATGTTTCTTCAGATTATCTAATATGACATTTTGAAACTTTATTCCTTTGATATTTATCACAAGTAACACAACACAACAAAGTTTTTGTTTCGGGGTTGAAATTAGATGATTTTAATGTATTTCCACGTGTTAAAACCGAAAGTGACCATAAAAATTATATATTAGCTCTTGTTTTCAAGATATAGTATCATTATATTATATATATGTATATTGAGTTTTCAACAAATGAAATATTTCATCACCAACAGTTGGTACACATGTTTGTTTACATAACACCCCTCTCATCAGCTGTTCTTAAGTAGTAAACATAACCTATGTGAGTTTGTCAATTGTACG